TTGTATCGATCAAGTTGGACATTGGAGCTGTATCGATCAAGTTGTACATTGGAGTTGTATCGATCACATGTTGTACATCAGAGTTGTATCGATCAAGTTGTACATTGGAGTTGTATCGATCAAGTTGGACATTGGAGCTGTATCGATCAAGTTGTACATTAGAGTTGTATCGATCACAAGTTGATTGTCATTAGAGTTGTATCGATCACATGTTATACATTGGAAATTGAAATTGTTAAAAGAAAAATAGCATAAATACAATGGTTTTTGTGTGCTTGACCGCCTATTGCTATTGTAAACGTGTGAATATAGTCTGGGGCTTCAAGCAAAACCTTTCCCTTTTTGTGTTATCAGAAACAAGCATCTCGTCTAGCCATATCTCGAGTCATAAAAGAAATAGAGAGCAAAAAGGGACAACGATTCGAAAGGCTTTAGCTGATTTGGGTTAAATTTTAAGTTTAACAACAATTTACAACATTAGAAATAATTCATTAGCAGCACAGAAAAAAAAATAGAAAAATTTACTTGTTAAATTTGATCCCCGACGTTTTTTTTATTGAAAAATGGCCTAAAAATCGGAAATTTTTTTTCGCAAATGGACATTTCTATAAGTTTTAATATTGGGTTGATGGAAAAGTCCTTTCCGATCAACAAGATGGTCGCCATTCTTATTCAAGACTTCTTTCCACCGCTCAACAAGCCACCAGGCATTGAGTTTTCGGTTGAATGCATACAAAAAAACAGGTGTCGCTGGTGCTCCTCCGATTCAATTTACCTTAACCCCTAGACACGCATTTTCAGAAGCTTAGCAATAGACACTAGCGACATTCAACCGAAAACTCAATGCCGCACAGGCTCATCGAGAGATTACTGACGTTTATGGACCCGATTTCGTTGATGGACCCGAAACAGGTGTCGCTGGTGCTCCTCCGATTCAATTTGACACGACATTCCTGAAAAAAAGCCTTCTAACAACATCAAAAAAATGATAAAACAAAAAAAAACGAGAAAAACGAAGGAAAACGAAGGAAAATCGCGAAAAGCGGCGGAAAGGCTATTGATCTGAGGGTCGCTGGTTCGACCTCCACCGGGGACAATATTTTTCAAAAATTTTTTGCTAAGGCTTTGCAAATGCGTGTCTAGGGGTTATTTTTGACGCTGATCACGAAACACATGGTTTTAGCCTGGGTTTCTGCACGGAAAACTAACGAAACGTGAAAACAGCGATTTTTTTGGCTCTGCCGCCCTTTACTAAAATAGCTGTAAAAACTTTTAGAAAAGAGATATCTCAAAACGGTTTTTACCAATCGATCCGTCTTGAATTCAGCTTTAGGATGAGCTATAAAACGTCTAAATTCGACAAATTTAAGGTACTCTCCCAAAAAATCGGAAAGAACTTTTTCATCAACCCAGGTCATAGTTAATGTGAAGTTGTTACCGTTTTTCTCTAATATAATGCACCCCCGGTGAGCCGAGTTGGTTCCTATTTTACGGTTTCCAAGCTTTCCCAGAAGCTCAGCACTCTAATCATCGTCAAGATCTCATCGTCAGCTGCATTTTCCGACCCCACATCGATAGGTTCTCCCAAAAAATCGGGAAGGACTTTTCCATCAACCCAATATTAAAACTTATAAAGCTTTATCAACTTTCTTTCCATTTTATTCTCATTATTTAATTGTATTTTATGTTATTACTCAAAAGTTTTGTTAATTTTGAGGAATGGCGAAGAAATCTGTCGATTCCATCATCGTCTTGCACAAAAGTCGAACATCGACGATCAACATCGCAACAAGAACAAAAACCGTGAGAGACGGCTGAAATAGGGCATCTACGCGAAAATGAGAGAGCATCAACCCTCGCAGAGACACGCAAAAAGCTTACGCACGCGGGATTCCCAAGCCGTCTCCGATCCAAGTGCTAACCGAGCCCAACGTTGCTTAACTTCGCAGATCGGACGGGATGCCGTGTTTTCAACGTGGTATGGTCGTAAGCGAGTGTCGGGCTGTAAGAGACGGCTGAAATAGGGGATTCCCGTGAACACCAGAGCGCATCAGCACTCGCAGAGACGCGAAACGACACGACTGTGAGTACCTTTCGTGTGTCTCGTAGGGAAAAGCGGCATCTGGCACACGGCTCTTCCAGATAGCGCGACAGAGGCCCCATTCTTCGGTTTAATTACCCAAGTTTGAGGTTAGCATTAACCCCTAGACCTTCCAACAGTGTCTCGAAAAAAATTTTGGAAAGCGTCTCCGCTAGGGGATGCACAAATAAATTTGTGAAAGCTTGCAAATGTTTTATTTGCTCTGTTTCTCTACTGCTTCCATCTTTCTTGTGATTTCTCTTCTGCTCTGTTTCTCCTCATTCTTGAAGCATGGTTGTATCCAAATCGGACGACAAGAAATTTTTCTTTTTCATCTTTTTCAATTAGGACAGTACACTTTAGAAATGTTGATGTTTGTAGGCTGAAGATCGTTGTCATCGTATGGGACAGGAAAAACCGGTGCATGTCGCTCGCATGATCTCTAAAGTTTTGATTCAGACAAAATTTAAAATTTGATCTTTGAAAATTCTATTTAGGAAACATTCAGGTGGCCATGAGGAAAATTACAGCTGGAGAAAGAGGTGACTATTGGAACACGAGCCATTGCAGGCCTAATGCAATTCAAGCCAGTAAGTTTTTGGTGCTGGAAATCAATTTTCAGCACTAGAAGAACCCGTATCTTTCCTTGGGTGAATCATTTCAGAAATCAAGTGGAGGTAGCAAAAGGAATAGCAAAAAATTGCATTTTGGAAGCGCACTTTTGTCGATCAAAACGGAAGCGCACTTTTGTGGATCCGGCTAGAGACTTGGGAATCTATTTTTGCAGAAATTAACAGCATTATAGTGAATGGTCTCCCGTGTGGTTCCGCGCCGCCGTTTCATTGAAAGTGAAGAGTTGACACATTTCTTGATAAATCACAATAAAAATGAAGTAAGGGATCAATTCACTACGAAACGAAATTAAGCTCATTTGTGCATCCCCTAGCGGAGACGCTTTCCAAAATTTTTTCGAGACACTGTTGGAAGGTCTCGGGGTTAATGCTAACCTCAAACTTGGGTAATTAAACCGAAGAATGGGGCCTCTGTCGCGCTATCTGGAAGAGCCGTGTGCCAGATGCCGCTTTTCCCTACGAGACACACGAAAGGTACACACAGTCGTGTCGTCTCGCGTCTCTGCGAGTGCTGATGCTCTCTGGTGTTCGCGGGGATCCCCTATTTCAGCTGTCTCTTACAGCCCGACACTCGCTTACGACCATACCACGTTGAAAACACGGCATCCCGTCCGATCTGCGAAGTTAAGCAAAGTTGGGCTCGGTTAGTACTTGGATCGGAGACGGCTTGGGAATCCCGAGTGCCGTAAGCTTTTTGCATTTTTGTGGACCTTTCTAGAGACTTGGGAATCAATCTTTGCCTAAAGAAAGTAACTTAGGGATCATTTATTCTAAATTATTAAGCTCATTTGTGCATCCCCCAGCGGGGACGCTTTCCAAAATTTCTTGAGACACTGTTGGAAGGTCTCGGGGTTAATGCTAACCTCAAACTTGGGTAATTAAACCGAAGAGTGAGGTCTCTGTCGTCCTATCTGGACGAGCCGTGTGCCAGATGCCGCTTTTTGGCAGGAGACACCCGAAAGGTACACACAGTCGTGTCGTCTCGCGTCTCTGCGAGTGCTGATGCTCTCTGGTGTTCGCGGGGATCCCCTATTTCATTTCATCCGTCTCTCACAGCCGCACACCGTTTGGAAGTTTGCCTTACAATAACCAAAATTTGTTAGTACTTTGAAGAAAAAAGACATTTAGGTCAAAAAGCATTCGTAAAATCATCACTGAAGACTTTTCTCAACCATCTGCGATCAACTTGATCAAGCTCAACGTTTCGAAAGCGCTGAAGTTCAAAAAAGTTTTAAATGATTTTCCCAAGATAAAACATAAAAACTAAAAAATCAACGAATTATCATTTGAAACTAGAAAAGACCAGATCGAAAGCTTCCCTTATGAGTCAGAATAGTTAGAATTTCCATCTCTCTAGCTTTCTCCCCAAACGATAAGAGCCTCGTTGGGCAATTTTACGGCACTTTGTGTAAATTTCTCGCCCTAAAAGAGGTGTATTTTGAGCATGAATGAATTTCCTGGCTCCCACCACCATGGCTCCCACCACCACAACAGCCACCACCATGGCTGAAGAAATAAAAGCAGTGGGGCAGTAAAAAGCTGTTCTGGTTACCAAGAAAACCGCTACCTTTCTGACAATTTGTAGCCCTCAGAGAGTCTCGGAATTGGCCCTGCTGGCTCTAAATCGTGCTAGTTTCTTTTCGGAAAGAGTAATGTTTGCTACATATATAACCAAGAATAGGGACTCGGACTTGGTGACTCTTGTAGCAAACGATCCTGAACTACAAGTCTGTATTGTACTGTGAATACAGCCCTTATGAGTCAGAATAGTTAGTGTCACGAAATGGTGTCACCACGACGCTAGCCGGTGGAAAGGTTTGCCAGAATGACTATCGAATCGTTTTGTACACTCTTTACTTACCAGAACTAGTTAGAGAATACTAGCCAAAGAAATGTATAAGCAACTACTGAAGAATTGTTACAACAGAAGAAAGCCCTCTTATATTCCAGTGTCTGACTTTCTGCGATCAACGACCCAGCAACGTCACTCTTCTCGACTATTGCTACATCTCGTGCTATGAGCGCTTTGAGAACATGAAGAGTTGCTTCTGGTACGATGCTGTGAACCGATTTGTTTAACTGCCGCAATCTTTTGGGAACTAACCGTGATCTCATCATACCTTATGAACATATTTATTTAAAGAATAAATTTGAATTGTAATCCCCAAAACAACTAAAACTTTCAAATTTCATCAACAAATTAAACAACAACTACCGGTTGAAAACATACAGAATAAGTGTAGTAATGATTCGAGGGATTCGAGTGATTCATAAAAATTCGGCATCTAATCCATTTGCTGGTCCACCGTCCGTTTCATATACTCGTCCAGCTGACGGTCAAGTTCCTAGACAAAAATGATTGTGCAACACCGCAAAGGATAATACCTCTTGAGAAAGTTTCTTATGCGACCATTTGGTGGAGGAAGTGGGCGATGGTTTATGCTTTGGTTTGACTTCAGAGGTTTCATCAGCTTGATCCTTAACAAGCAAATGCTATGGTATAAATTAATATAAACTACCCTATGATCGTGTTGGTCCCACGAAGGTCGGTCCGCGCTGAAAGTTTACACATTAAACATGTAAGTAATTCACATACGCGCTATCTCACTTAATAATTACAATCAGACAACAAAAACAAGCACAAAAAGTAAGCAATTCAATACGTTAGCTTAAAAAAAGTATCCCACGATAGACGTCCACCACTGTCACTGCTCCTTGACTTCTTGACACGACCACGAATCGTTCGGTGAACTCTACCATCACCCCGCGAAGCTTTAGCGCGAGCAAACCTAAAACGAGCATCTCAAAAATCCCCAAGATAAACCTACTTAATGCGCTCACGAACCGTTCCGATAGTTATAGTAGAAACATCATCAACCTAAGAATGATTTGAAAAATTACTACAACATATACAAACCAATGTGATCTTGAGACGCTTGTCATCAATTGACGCGCCATGAAGATCTTTCATAAACTTTGTGCGTCATCAAAAGGAGGTAGCAAACTAAATCAATAACTTGAAAACAATTGCAACAGAAAAATACAAACTTGTGCCGTTCCAACTTGTTCGCCTTTTTCATTGTAGTGGACGAGAGGATGCTTGCCGTTGTAAGGCTCCACCAGTTCCTCCAAGTCAATCTGATTGAATTGTGGCGACAAATTGGCGAGAAGAATGCGAACAACAGCGGTGGGAAGCTTGACACCACTTCTGCGCCTCGAGTCTAAATACAAAAAATAGTTCTGAACATAAAAAAAGTGAAGAAACGTAGGTAGCTTTACGACGATAAAAGTTAGACCTTACTCGAGCTACGACTACAAGTAATAGACTAAAGTACACACCCTTGCGATCACGACCTGTGTCATGCACTCCTTCAAATCTGTCATGTTGCCAACGACCACTGAAACCGGATGCTCGATGACTACCAGACAAGCCACCCCTTGCGCTGCTGCGTCCACGAGAGCTAAAGTAAAATAACAATTATCGGCAAACAAGTACGCAAACTAACCCTTTCTTCTCGGCGACAATCTCGTCGAGTGCGCGATCAATCACAGTTGAATACATGAAGTCTAAAATAAAACATCAGAATATGGTCAAAGTCGATAGAGAAGAAACGAAAACGCATCATTAGGTTTTTTAAACACTTTCCGAGGGGTAAAGATTGCCGTTAAAGCATTCGTTCAGCAAGTTAGCAGGCTCAATGCACAAGACAGCAACTTGCTTTTAGAGAAGTCTGAGGGAATTAGTGTTGAAAAGAAAACAAGACAAATGTTGAGAAAGTGCAGCCGAAAATGAAATAAAACCACGCGTTGAGTTAATGCGTAGTTTCGAAAAAGATACTAGATAAAGGGGGTAGGCTACTTTCCGCCATTTTATTTGCGCAACAGGGTCATTTGCGCAAGTACGTTTGCGCAACAAGGGTCATTTGCGCAACTTTTTTTTGCACAAAAAGGGTCATTTGCGCAACTTTAACACTGTATTAAGCACTCGAATTTTTAATCATTATTTTAATTTTTGAGCTTTTTTTATTGTTTTTTTATTTTCTTCTATTTTTTATGAAATCTTCCAATTTTTTGCACAATCTTCCAATATTTATCTAAATTAGTCCTTTCTAAGAGCTAATAACCATTAGTAAAGTATTTTATCGCTTTAACAAAAAAAGTGCAACCGATAACAATGAAAGTTAGGACAACAATAGCAATGAAATTTAGGACAACAATAAAAATCAAATTTTTTTAATACAAGTCAAAAGCTGAGAAAGATGTTGCACAAAATCGCAACCGGGCAAGCGACCATTAGAAATAGCAGTAAAACGTTGCTTTTGTCGAGCCAATACAGTTTTCTTCCGTGTGTAGCTTTGTCCAACAGTGAGATTGATAGCCGATGAAAGCTTGAAACGGTTGATTATTTGCGTCATTTCTTCGTAAAGTCTGACCGCAGTATACGATGGATGCGGATTCTTGGGAAATGCGGAAAATTAGTTAACAATGGTTTTTAAGAATAAACAAAACCGTACTAGAATTTTAAACAACAAAAAAAAAACGCCAAAAACTCCCTTAAAAAAAACGTCCCTTAAAAACGTCAAAAAAGTTGCGCAAATGACCCTGTTGCGCAAACGTACTTGCGCAAATGACCCTGTTGCGCAAATAAAATGGCGGAAAGTAGCCTACCCCAGATAAAGATATAAAAAAGATCCAATAGAAGCGTCGCGTAGTCCCTTTAATCCTTTTTCAGAGAAAAATTTCGCCCCACTAAAATGCACTAAACTACCGTAACCCTCCAATTTTTGGAAATCAGCCGATTTCTTTGTTTTTTTTTTAATTTTCAAGGGAGTGGGACAAATGCGACCTTTTTTTTGCGCACCTTTTTTTGCGCACCTTGCCCATTAGCGCACCTTTTTTCGCGTTCTACGCACGCACAAATTTCGATTCTACGCCCTAAAATTACCTAGAAAAACAACTTTTGGAATAGAAATTGGTTAATATTAGCTTTTTAGAGCTTTTTTAGAGCTTTTTTAGAGCTTTTAGAGCTTAAAACGCGAAAAAAGGTCCGCTAATGGACAAGGTGCGGAAAAAAAAGGTGCGCAAATGTCCGGGTGCGCAAAAAAAGGTCGCATTTGTCCCACTCCCCTCAATTGAGTAGATCTCATGCTCATTTTGTAAATCAAAAACATCCTAGATATAGAAATTGGAAGCGACTTTTGTAGCTCGCCATTTGTTGTTTAACACGTACAGCTTGCCGCGTCTCCTTTCTTTTCAATTTTCATTTACACGTTGCGGATTCCCGCTGACAGTGATGTGTCCTGTACATATAGGGTAGTAGAAACAGGCCGTCCTAGCGAATTTACCCGAATCTTACCCATGAGCTGCTCAAGTATGCCCCATCTCAAACAAATTCTGCTCTCTCTCACCTGACAGTTGTGACAGTTCTTTAACCTCTACTCCCACTATGTAGCTCTGTTAATTTTTGAGCACTATTTTATTCTCTTCATTTATCATTCGTTATAGAACTTTTAGATTGCATCATCTAGAAGCAATTGTGGGTAACGAGTTCACGGAATCAAGGGGAAGCGCCCTTGGTGAGTTTCTTTCTAAAGCATAAAGTAAAATGCATCTCGGTTTTCATTGAGAGCGCTTGTTAGCGTCAAAGTTAACGAATTTCACTTATTTGCCATTAAAAGTTGGACTGGCTAATTTGGCAATGCAAAATCTAATGTGCTGTTTTCTGACCTGGGAAATAAAAGTAGTGCTTTATTCTAGTCCCTTTACATCTAATCTTTTAGGAAACAATGGCTATCCGGACACAAAGTGAGTCGGTAGAGACTGCGGCTCAGTCATCAACGCCACAAGAGGTTGCTAATATTTGAGTTCTATATCTTTCACTTGAATTTTTAGGAAGTACAACAACGAAAGAAATATAACATGCCAGCGGGATTTTGTCAATATGTGGCGGAGATGCAGAGAAATAAAAGCGCTTTAAACAAATTAAAGTAAGCTTTTCAAAGGTTCTAGCAAGTACACATTTTTATTAAGAGTGACGACCATGGACAACGGGTATCGATACGAAATGCAAGGCGACCAAAAGGGAAGCGAAGAAGAAACACTCCGACTTTTGCGTCATAATGTGGGAATTGATGTTTTTTGATGCGATTTTTCATAAAATACTTTAGTCTTTACGTGTTTTTTAGTACAATCTGCTACCTGCCGAAAGAAAGTTTAAGCTGGAATTGAAATACCGCAGTCAAAAAAGTTCATCAAAACGACTACGTATGGAGGCGACAGAAGGTATTGAAAGATTCAAACGACTCATCTTTTCTTTGAATTGTTTTACAAACGATAACGTATAGAAGAATTTCTAAGTAATTATAGGCAGACTGGCTCCGGTTGATGTAGAAGAGATCGGAAAATACGCGCACAGAAGCAATCCATCAGAGCTTGTATTTGCAAGCCATACTGAGCACAAAATGTTTATGACTAAACTGGTAGGTTGTTTCAACTGTGATTTTGTGTTAAATCAATAACTAGTAAAAATTGATGTTACTATCTAGAATCTGTACGATGAAAGCTATCCATTCTGTGACTTTTTCGGCTCGGAGTTTAACGAAGGGAAGAAATTTGACGGATTGCCAAAATTGACGCTTGTAAGTTTTCTCGCGGTAGTGCACGTGCTTGCAACGATAAATATGTCTATGCAATTGGGTACCAGTCAAAAAATCTAAAAACAGTTACTTTTTAGGTACATTTGCTGGCATATCCACATGCCGTGTTGTATGCATGTCACTTTTGTCTACATGCTTTCACTACATCAGACTTGCTGAATGTTCACGAATGCAAGGAATTTCGAGACTGGAAAAACGCACAAGAGTCACTTCAACCGGTCTATTTTAAACTCTACGCGTTAGAAAAAATTAGAACTTCCAACACTGAAAAATCTTTATTTTTAGCCTGAGATGGTGGAAGCTCGAGTATTCGTGTGTTGTACCGATTGCGGAAAGTACCTTCGTTGTCGATCGAGTGAAATCGAAAGTCTTCAAGAATTTGTCGTATGTGATTATGTGGTTTCACCAATTCAAAATGATTCAACCGTTTTCATACTTTTGTTCAGGAAGGACATTTGGTGAATCGAGTCGTTACAATTGTGGTTAACTTCGCTGGACACACGCCAAACAAGAATCCAGAAGTTATGTTCAAGACTGTGCCATCGTTTGCAAGGCAATTCAGTGTTAGTTTTCGACATAGTAATTTAGGCAACGATATATGCTTTTAGAGTTCCTGTTCGCAATGTGGGACCGAGCCATTCACTTCTCCAGAAGAAGCTGTAGCTCATTTTTCGGATATCAACAGACATCCTGACACTCAGCAAAAAAAATGTCATAAATGCAAAAGGCCATTACCATTTGGCATCAATAAAAGGTTAAAAAACGTTATTATTCAACTAATATATGATTTTAGTGAGCATCTCTTGAAATGTTACCAAATTTGCGATGAGCGCACGAAAAACTCGATTTTGTTGGCAGATTGGCTTTCAACAACCGCGCCGCTTTTGTGGTGGTTTGATAAAATGTATTGTAATATGTTTTTGTTCAGGGATGGAGCCGTGCAATGCGAAATGGACGGATCTCGTATGCTTCAAAATCTTGAAAAAGTGTCTCAAAAATATGTAAAATTTGATTACCGTACAAAAATTTTGTGATTAAGGCGGACCGTGAGCAGTCGCTAACTATTGAACGAATGCAAGCAGGGGAGAGGAGGGAACAAGAGGAACTATTTAGATTTCAAACTCAGCTGGTAAGTTATTAGTTTTGAAGCATTAAAATAAGCTAAATGATTTTATATACTTATAAAATTCTGATTCATTGGTTTAGGGGATACCCGAAGAGACTCCTAGACACGGTGTATGGGCGCAAAGTACGGCACAGAGAACCTTTATCCGAGAAACAATAGCTCATACAGACTGCGAGCGGTCGGTTGACCTGAGCGTTTACGGAATTGGTGGCAATGTGGCCGATAAAGATTTCAAAAGTAGGGACAAACTATAGCTAATTCAGAATAAACAGCGTTTAGCTATCCGGCTCGTCTGTGGAGAGGAGCGCGCAGCAACGATGCTTAAAGAGCATATCGCACGATTTCAGGAGGACGTCATTTTAAATAGCAGCTTCCACAATAAAGTGCCTGCTGAGGAGTGGCTCGGAAAGTTTGTTGTTTCGACCAGAATGGAATCCAACTACTAGTTTAGATTGTATCTATGTTTGGGTTGCTACTACTTTGTGCACGGAGAAATTGCTTTGGCAAATCATCTGACAACTTGCCAACCCAATGAAGATCCGCGTGATTCCGTAAAAGTTAGTTTCGTTCATTGGATCTACATCAGGAAATTTAAGGTTTTCACAGTACATATGCTTGAAATCCAAAACATGACGAGACAGGCGTATCATTGCTTTCAATGCAGCTTCTACGGATGCTCTTTGCTTCCACTTCGAGTTCATCTTGCCACGAGGCATCAAATCGGAACGAATGTTTTGCTTGAAAAAGGAGGTAAACTCTATTCTGCTAATTATTTTATACATTTATGAGTGGGAAAAACCAGGAAACCATGTTTTCATTTTAGAAAGCTCAAAGTTTCGACCGACGGTTGGCATGCAATTCGATCAGACGCTTGGACTCGTTAATGGAAAATTGCCTTGTCAATCACCGTATGAAACCTCTAATCCTACTATGGCTTTCCAACTCGAGGTCGGGCGCTTTTTTTGAGTTTCGCAAGTGGAAGAAAGTTTAGACGCTTGTACTCTCTGAATCGTTAGATGAAACAATGGGGAATTTAAAGGAAAAGATAAACTCCACATCAGCAGCGAGATCCGAAGAACCCATGCAAACAACGCCTATGGATACATCTATGATCGAAGAGATAAATGGTATATTTTTCTATTCCGTTGACCTTAAACACTATCGTGTTTAGTAACAACCGAAATCCAGGAGAACTTGCCGGAAGAATTGGAACCACAAGAAGTCATTCCAGCAACACGGTCAAATCCAGATAATGAGCAAACAAGAATTGGTAATCATTAAGACTTCATGGCGCATAACATTTTCTTTATAGCTGCAAACAACGAAGAAACGCTGGTAGAAAAAGCATCCGAGGCGCCCTTTCCAGAGGACGATCCAGTAATTTCAACAGAGCCAAATCCTAATACAAACGATGTGACAACCACGGAAAAGACGCCAGAAGATACAACTTCTCCACGAGAAGAACCAGCGCCTATTCAGACGGAGTCAAATTTGGATATTGTTATAGCCAAACCGAAGAATGGTAATCCTTGGAATTCTTCTAGAATTTATGGTTTTTTTTAAGTTACAACTGATGATATCCAGAGCACATCGTTACGCACTGAATCTGACGGAACTTTAGCCAAAAATCAAACGGAATCGCGACAAATAGAGGACGAATTGATTATAGATCCTACCGAGGAAGTACAAAGTGTTCTGAAACGAAGAATGTCAAGTGGGTTTTTAATGTTTACGGCATTTATCTTAATTTTTAGTTGCTGTCAATTTGACGTCGATATTGCAAGAACCGATTCGAGAAGAAACAAATTATGTGGGGGCCAAAGATAAATCTTCAAGTGCTAAGGATGCGGATGATGACGATATAATCCTTGTGGTGAGCACCTTCACATAAATAACACCATAACTAAAATCACTAGTTTGTTTGGGGTATGTAAATTAACGGAGTCATGAACTGTGCTCTTTTAATTTCCTAATTACAGGATGTTCCTCAATTAAAAGAAACCATTTCAAAGCAAATACAAGTAGTGCGCGCACCGAGCGACGACGCTGATTGTATGATTGAAGAAGTCGACACGAAGTAGGAGTTTTTCTTTTTTTTAATTTAAAGAAATTTAGCGCTGTTGGACGCCCCGTAAATGTACTTAGCGTTAGAGAAAAGAAATATCAATGTACAAGATGCTCAGAAAAGTTCTTCACTGCAAACGGACATGATGATCATATTGCAGTTAAACATCGATTGGATGGCGGTAGCACCACCACAGTTAGCGTTGTAAGTAATAATGGTGATAATTTGAACGTATTGCAATCACTTAAGGAATATGGCATGCCGCTAATCAGAAGTCGGGACTTTTATATTTGCGTGCTGTGCTCCACTGTTTACGATCATCTTCCACTTTTTCAAAGACACATGTTTTCTACCCACGCTTCCTGGTAACCTTGTACGTATAACTGATCGATCTCCTTTTAGTCCTCCAATTGTTTGTCCACTGTGCTCCTTTGTTTCCTTCAACTTAGAAAGCGCAAAAACTCATTGGGATTTTCATCAAGCAAATATGAAAGTCGGCGGAATCCCATGGCTTTGCTTGGAGCATAACCTAGTCTTTGGAAAGGTATGTACATGTAGTTAGGATTCTCTTCTTAACTGCAATCCAGAATCAATTATTTAGGATTCGGAACTGTTGTTTCATGCGCAGAAAACTCACAACACGACTTTACTCTTTTTCTGCAAGAGGTGCTTCTTTGCTACACTGAATGAGATAACGATTGTAAGACATCTACGGGATTGTTGCGTCGTGGTACGTTAGCTGAAGTATATAGTTTATAGGCTTTTGTCTAGAAACCAACGACAGAAGTTTGGCCACAAACAGCATCTCTTCAAGGCGAAGCCGGCTTGGGTGTGGTTGCTGCCAACGCAGGTTTATTTTTGTGATATAAAATGTAATGTGTAAATGATGCTTTGTAATAGATAAACGTTTTTTTTAGTTCACTACCAGCCGCATGACGAAAAACAATGGATAATGGTATATTAGCGTTTCGGTCAATAATACAAATCGTATCAGGCTCTCAAAAGCGCTGGTCGACCTGAAACCGCCCACCCGTCTCTTTGCATACACAGGACGCTTCTGGCTCAAAATCACTCTGTTATCTTATGCAAAGATCGAGATTGTAACACTTGGGTGAGTGAATTTGAGAAAATTTGGACTATGTCAAGTTTCTTTGCAAAATCGCGAAAAATAGCAATTGTTGAGTTTTTATCTTTATGTAGTATAATATGGTTTTAGTACGTTCAACCGACTTATCTGGCCACATTTGAGGAAGAAACAGATCGAGTCCTCGCCTTGCAGGTATCAAACAGATGCGTGACCGAAAATTCTTGGAAGGTTTTAACGAAATTGGAAGAGATGCAAAAGAAGTAGGAATATATTCGACGTGCAAGAAATCTTTTGAAGAAATAGTTATTTTTCGTTCGTTTTCGTTATTTGTTAGAAATAAAAGTTGTTTTTGTTTGTAGCGTGTAGGAAGAAATTCAGCACCATCAATCTAGCATGACAATTTTGCTCTCCTGGACTAGACGTGTCAGAGCACTTTTCTCAACACACCACCTACGCTGTAGCGGATTAGAGTTTAATGCATTAGGCTAACCAGGTGGGGTGTGCAGGAATTTAGATTTTTACTTGCTATTGGCAAATGTCGTCGTCTGGTGGATCCTGTTGCAGATTGGTTTCTTGATAGGCGTGTATAAATCTTTATTATCACATAATAGAATATTTCCTTTCGGATTCATCCAACTTTTTTAGACGAAAAGTCAGCGAACATTTCTATAAAACAAATTTGCTGAAAATTTAATTAGCGATGACATGACACGTGCTCACCTCTGGGGTTTACCATCAACTGGGAGAAGTCCATGACGGAACCCGAGCAAACTACTGAGTATTTGGTAGCCCCATCGCGCCATCTCTGTCCACCCCACCAGCCAAAAGCAAAGCTCTCATCGAACTTATCAAAACCCTAGTGAATAGCAAGATTATCCGGCACGAGTAATGCAATCATCCTCGTAACGCCGGCATCAACGAGCCAGAAATCGATACCACAGGCACAAGGGCTAGTCACCAAGTCCGAGTCCCTATTCTTGGTTTTATATATAGCAAACATTACTCTTTCCGAAAAGAAACTAGCACGATTTAGAGCCAGCAGGGCTAATCCCGAGACTCTCTGAGGGCTACAAATTGTCAGAAAGGCTAAAAATCTTTAAAAAAGAAGTAAGCTTTACTTAACTGGTGGCTAGAATCTATTTATTCCAAAGAAGTAAACTTTACTTAACTAGTGGCTCAACAACCAACAACCTTTACTTCAGTTTTGTTCTCAACAAACACACCATGAATGTTTTTGAATGTCGAAATGCACAATGTTCAAAATCAAGTTCCTTTCACTCAATCTATCAATGGATTAACGAGAATAATCAATTTAAGTCGTTAAATATAAATTTAAAATCTTTATTGATGATTTAAAAAAAAAAACCCGTCATCGTTTACAAAACAATATTACACAACGAGAAAGCACTGAAAGAAAGAAAATCGTCGAATAATTGAATAATTGAATAATTGAATAATTGAAAATATAAGTGAAAAAGAATCGATATTTTTGAAAGAAAAGATAAATGAGAATTATTGGATTGTAAAATTCTCAAAGAGAATAAGCTAAAAAGTAGCTAAAATTCGGTGATTATCTTTTTGAAAACTATCAGTTTATTTTCTAAAAATTTCCTCTAAAATGAACTGATCGTTTACGAAAATTAGTGCAGAAAAGAAAATCGAATACGGTAGGAAATTTGAAAACTAACTAGAAATACAAGAATATTCAACTATCTACAGATAGTTGAATGTCTACTATTCAACTCAACTGTAACCTATTTAGACACTACCATATTCTCTCTAATAGTCCTGTTCTAATAATAGTACACTCTAATAGTCCTGCTTTAATAATAGTACAGTCTAATAGTCCTGCTCTAATAGTGCACCCTAAGCTTCGCCTAAATTCCTTGAAATCTCGAAAACCGCTTATCAGAACCAATCGATGTATCGCTTATCAGAACCTATCGATCGATATACCTAATGTAGCTGACAATGAGATTTTGACGATGATTAGAGTGCTGAGCTTTCTTTTTGTTCAATCCCAACTTAATTCAAGGAGTTTTTTTAGGGAAACGGTGAGTGGGATGTGACAAAGATCACGACGATTAACTTGAATCAAGGTCGAAGTAAATTTGTGTGTCTTGGATGTCAGATCAGTCTTGGATGTCAGACCAAAATGTCAGATCACACTACTCCAAATATCCTCAGATAGGTTATGTGCTGAGCATTCGTCGAGTTCCCAACTTCTAGGTCTATGTGATCGCGCTGCCGTGTTTCATTCTGACCGCTTTGTCAGTGGTTGGGATATTCTGGACCCGTCACATCAAAAAAAGAGCAACTAGTTAAGTTGAGAGCATGTTGAAGATAGAAATTGACTATGTAGAATAAGTGAGAGTGAAGGAAATGTTGTTTGATTATTGCTACCGTATTCTCTCTAATAGTAGTACACCCTAAGCTTCGCCTAAATTCCTCGAAATCTCAAGAACCGCTTATCAGAACCTATTGATGTGGGGTCGGAAAATGTAGCTGACGATGAGATCTAGTGGGGAATTAGAGTGTTGAGCTTCTGCAAAAGCTTAGAAACCGTAAAATAGTCACCAACTCGGCTCGGTGCACTACTACTCGAGAAAATACGGTAAATTCGCTGATAAGCAAACTAAAAACCATTCAGTAATATCTAAAAAAGTCGCAAATTGTTTTGGCTAAATCTTTTCTATTCTACTTTTAAGAGACAAGAGTTTACAGTATTCTTTGACATTTCAATCGCCTCCGATTTCTTCTCAAATATTCCAATCACCGCGCAAGAGCTCATGCAACTGCTCAAGTCGATGCAGTTGACGATCGTCGAGAATACACAAATCCCAATCGTCTCTGAAAGCTTTGAAAGCTTTTACTATTACTTAAAAGAAATACTTAGTTAAAAATTACTTACTTAAAAATACGGTAAGTATTAAATGAATATTCCGAATAGTTTTTAAATTTAAATCTCGAGATTGAAAAGTTAAGGTTTCAATTTTTACCGAATTAAGTAAATTTTTGTTTTTTCAATTCTGATCGGATTTAGATTGGAGCTTTTCAACTATTCTAAAGTCTCGAGTATAAGCTCATCCGAGTATAAGTTCTGCCTTAATTTACATTCGCTTTAATTGCTTTGAATTTCTTTTTGTTGGGTTTTTATACATTTTTATTGTTATATAAACTTCTTATTATTGTTCTTGGAGCGCTGGGATACTACAGGGTGACAGCCTATCACCATTGCTATTTGTTATGTGCATGGATACATCCAGACGATAGTGTTGAAGAAGACGCTGGAAAGCATCTCTTTCGACCGTCGATGTGGACTTTGGCCGGATGAAGAGGCCAGGGAGGGATCCATAAGACTGAGCAAGCAAGCAAGCAAGCAAGCACCGGAGAGGAGCAGGGCGGACGCGCCGAGCCACGGCCAGGGCCGAGCCACGGCCAGGGCCAGGGCCGAGCCACGGCCAGGGCCAGGGCCGAGCCACGGCCAGGGCCAGGGCCGAGCCACGGCCAGGGCCAGGGCCGAGCCACGGCCAGGGCCAGGGCCGAGCCACGGCCAGGGCCAGGGCCGAGCCACGGCCAGGGCCAGGGCCGAGCCACGGCCAGGGCCAGGGCCGAGCCACGGCCAGGGCCAGGGCGCGCGCCCGGAGCAACAAATAACAGCATAAAAGTGCTATAACCCTCAATAAATTTACTTCTATTTGTTTACTTCTATTGTTCTTAAAAAGCAAAAAAGTTATGCTGCAGCGGGGTTCGAACCCTCGACACACCGCATCGGAGACAGACGTCAATTTGCATGCGAAAACCAAACAGAACTTATACTCGCGACTTTAGGGTAAATAACTTTCACTAAAAATTAGTTTTACAAAAGTTGAATGCAAATACGGTTTGCACCATTGGAAAGCTCTAGATTTTCTTTGCAAAATCGTTGTCATCAATTTCAAAAAAGCTTTCGTTTTTGGGGTTTTTTCGAGAGCGAGAGCAAAGGCGAACAGAAAAAAAATTGAAGAATTTCACTTTTCACAGTTTCCAAAACTCAAGCGCAAAGTTGAAGTTTCAATTTTTCCTTTGGGTAATGATTTGGGTATTAATTATGGATTTAGACCAAAATTTGTCGTGATTTTTGATCTCAGCTCCATCCTCACCTCCACTCATGAGCGGCTGTTCGTTTCCACGCAATTGCATCCGGAATATGCAAATCCGAGAGCTCACACAAATCCACCAATGGCGCCAACAGGCGAGCCGTGTCGTTCATCTGAATTTAAGAAATCAGTTAAATTTTAAGTCTTATTTTCGAAAAAAAAACACTCAGCGACAAGGACATTTTGTGTAGCTTGAAGAGAAATCAAATCGATTTGCTCAATGCATCGTTTGTGGTCAATGCATCGATTTGCTCAATGCATCGTTTGAGGTCAATGCATCGTTTGAGGTCAATGCATCGTTTGAGGTCAATGCATCGTTTGTGGTCAATGCATCAATGAGCCAAATTTATCTTTTAGTTTCGATCAATCTACTTGATCAACCGATCAATCCTTGTTAATTATTAAGTAGCTTTCTTTTTTACGGCATTCAATAAATGTATTTCAAAGTGGTAGACTACCTGACTGGATTTACCGTTAGTATGATTTGGAATTGGTGATTTGATTGAAATATGATTTGGAAGTCAAATTTACAAGGGTCAACGTGTGGCGAATAGCCACTAAAAAGTTACCAAACTCTGACAGCCTCAAAATTGGAAAAGTATTGCGGAAATCCGTGCGCCTTCATTCTATTTCGCGCCGCAAATCATTTATTATTTTGTAGCTTGTTAGCTGAAAAGCTTGTGTTAAAGACTATATAGGGTAACTGTTGTTCATTTGATGTGTTTTTACTTTTTCTTTCTTCCTTTCATCGTGTGAAAGTTGTGTCCTAACTAGGACGAAATTGTTTCTGTTTTTATCGTCGCTTCTAATTCAATTGTCGATTTTGTGTGAAAATTGCTCAAGCCAAAAGCTCAGAGAGCCCAAAAATCCTGAGTCAGTCGGCTATTGAATAAAGTGTCTTCGTTCAAATGAGATCAGATATCTCGAAACATGAAATAACGTTGAGTGAAGAGTGCCAAGCACGCAAAGAATATTTCTTTACAACTGGATTTACCGTTAGTCAATCAAGGCATTCCGTAAACAGAAGATAAGGTGTTTATCTTCTGTTTACCACTTTGAAATACATTTATTGAATGCCGTAAAAGAAAAAAGCTACTTAATAATTAACAAGGATTGATCGGTTGATCAAGTAGATTCATCGAAACTAAGCCATCAAGCCCTTTAAGCCACCAGGTCGATCCATCCACTTATTCAATAAATCTATTCAGTCAATCTATCCATCATTGCCTGAATAAAGTTCATCCGTCAATAAATCATGTTTCAAAGTAATGCATAATTGCATACTGGTCTAGCTGGCAATCTTGCCTTATGAACTTTATGAGTTAATCCTCATTTGACTTTGATTCAACTTAAACCAAACTGAATGACGAAAAATGCAAACAGGGCACGATTTTTGGTTAGTATTTCACATGTTTCTTAGAACATTTACACTCGTTACGTAGAGGAGTTGCTCGGTCAGCTCGATTTCTATGGTTTCAAGCTAAAATTTCCCTAATTGCTTCATTTCAAAGATTTCAAAGTCATGTTTCAAAATGGTCAAATCTAGAACATTGGCGACGAAACGGCTTCTATGGAAACCATATTGAAGCCATATTGGAGCCATAGAACCATATCGGAACCATATTGGAACCATAGAACCATAGAACTGAACCGTACTTGGATTTAGCACTTTTTTTTGACGACGATTGGGCTGAAAATTTGCAATCAGGGGTTTTCTGGGATGAGGAATTTGTATCCGTTATTAGTTTTTAAAGAAAACTACTTTTAGAGAGTTTTTTGATGATAATTTTACGACCAGTTGAGAAATTTGACTTTCTTTTGTCTTTTTCACTATTTTCTCTGCTGTTTTCAAAACAAATTTTTTTTATTTTAGTGGTGGGCAAAAGGAAGCAACTTTCCGATAAAGGGGATGATCGAAGCGATGAATAAAGCTGCGGACAGCTGTCGAGAAATTGCCAGGAAAATCGGCTGTTCACACCAATTGATCACCAATCGTTTACACCAACCTATCTCGTTACGTTTATGGCACAATGAAACATGAGGGACGAAAGCCGAGCACTACAAAGCGCCAACAACGACTAATCATTTGAGAAGCCTCAAATTCGACATTGGCTTCTCCCCAAACCTTTTAGCTAAGCTAGGCTAAGCTAGGCTGAGCTAGGCTGAGCTAGGCTAAGCTAGGCTGAGCTAGGCTGAGCTAGGCTGAGCTAGGCTAAGCTAGGCTAAGCTAGGCTGAGCTAGGCTGAGCTAGGCTAAGCTAGGCTGAGCTAGGCTAAGCTAGGCTAAGCTTTTAGTTTAAAATTTTGAACATTTATAGTATCTAACCGTAAAACAATTCATTTTCTCATTTGCTAACACGGTGTCCCAATTGGTAGTCTGTAAAGTAATCTAAAATCATTCTACATTGTTTTCTGTTCTCTCATTCATTTTTCCTTAGCTTCTATTAGTTTAATTATTCAATTTTTAGAGGATTTTGATCATATTGGCCGTAATCGAATCAAGCTGGGGACAGCTATCAAGAAGTTGATAGGAAAATCGGCTTCTTACACCAATTGATCAGTGCCTATCTCGTTAGATCAGTGATCGTTAGAGTGTGTTAGAGTTTAGAGTGTGTTAGAGTTTAGAGTGTATTCCTCACGAGTAATGCGTTTTTTTAAACGCACACTTTGGCAAAATTATCGTACTTTTAGCGAAAATTATTGCAAAAAATCACGAGCGACGAAAATTGTCGATTTTTCTCTTTGTATAACTCCGTTCGTTTGTTTTCACAAGCTCTGATATGTCAAAATTTCGATTCTACGCCCTAAAATTACCTAGAAAAACAACTTTTGGAATAGAAATTGGTTATTAGCTATATTAGCTTTTTAGAGCTTTTTTAAAACGCGAAAAAAGGTGCACTAATGGGCAAGGTGCGGAAAAAAAGGTGCGCAAATGTCCGGGTGCGCAAATGTCCGGGTGCGCAAATGTCCGGGTGCGCAAATGTCCGGGTGCGCAAATGTCCGGGTGCGCAAAAAAAAGGTCGCATTTGTCCCACTCCCAAAATTATTGCAAAAAAATCACGAGCGACAACTTAGATACGACTCTTTTTAAAGGTATTCAACCGTTTAACTGATTTGGTGGCGAATTCCCTTACACGTGTAAAGATATTCAATTTATGCGACGTGTAAAGAGGATTGCTCGTAGTTAATTGACAAAAAATGACGATTAATCGAGTAAGAATTATTGATGCAAATTTTACTCAATTACTGGGACTCAACTTACTCGCGAACACACTTTAGTTACGGTTATGGCAGAAAGAAACATCGAGCATTGGCTCGCAAATTAAAGATACTCAAAAACTAATAACGGATTCAGATTCTCTATCCCAGAATGCCTTTGGTCACAAATTTTCACGTCTACAGCTAACAGCCGTCGTCCGAAATGGCAACCAAGCCGAAAATGACTTTTTCGTCAATGTGTTGATGGTGGTTATCGACGATTCCTCGCCTACATATTCAAATTGATAAAGTGAACAGTTTCGAGCTGTTAATTGTTTTACAAAATTTCTCCTCTTACCAAATCCTCGAAGCAAATCGGATCAATCGCCAAATATGGGGTGCAATGTTCGAGCGCAATCTGCGAGCCAATAAACAACGCTGCGGCCAGCTCGAAACCGTCCTGAAAATGGCGAAAATAAAATCTTCTCATTTAAAACATCAATTTTGAATCTATTTGAATCTATTCTTTTGAATGTTTAAGTTTAATAAAAGGTTTTTCAGAGAATTAAAGCCAACTCTAAATGAAATCTGATCTAGTCTGATCTGATCGAACTCGAATGCTGTATTGCTGCTTGGTTTTCATGAGATAGGATAATCGAATCGATTTCTATTTAGTGTCATTCGAAAGCCTGAAACGTTCTCTATACAATGATATAAAAAGTTAATAATAATATTATCTCTGGGTAAAGTTATAGGCCATCAAAAAAGGCTCGAATTTTGATCAAAAACGCGAAACTTTTAAAAGAAAAATAACAGGAAAACATAGAAATTTTTTATTTCAATCATTTTTAAATATAATACTTCAATCCCTTTCAATAAAGATTAAAGAAAAAGAAAATAAAGATTCAATAAAGATTACGAGAGATTTCTTGCATAAAAGCTGACCAATTTGAAACAAGATCTTTGAAATAAAGCAAACAATAGCTTAGCTAAAGTATTGATGGTTTTACCAGCTTTTCCTTGTTGGTTTTAACAGCTTTTCCTTGTTTTACCAGCTTTTTCTTGTTTTACCAGCTTTTCCTTGTTGGTTTTACCAGCTTTTTCTTGTTTTACCAGCTTTTTCTTGTTCGTTTTACCAGCTTTTTCTTGTTTTATCAGCTTCCAAACTTTAAAGAACAGTTTTTTTAAAATTATTGCAATAAACCAATCTTTGACTAATCCAGGAACTGATATTAAGAACTCACTTTTTCACTCACTATGATAGATTCTTTTTTGAATCTGTTTTTATCTAAATTTCATAGCCATTTTCTTCTCACTTGTCGAATTGAATTGGTCTACGGATTTAGATTCAAAAAAATCTATCATAGTGCTGAAAAAGCGAGTTCTTAATATCAGTTTTAAGTTCCTAGATTAGCCAAAGATTGGTTTATTGTAATAATTTTAAAAAAACTGTTCTTTAAAAAGTCGTAGACCAATTCAATTCGACAAGTGAGAAGAAAATGGTTATGAAATTTAGATAAAAACAGCCTATAAGCCCGAATTTTCATTTAGTAGTTGAGAATTTAAAAAAAAATACCGACTGGGGCTACCAGTTGTGAATTTATCGCATACACGAAATATATCAATCACAATACAACGACACACACAATACTAGGCTATATCTTAACTTAACCCACGTCATGACAGACGGCTCCCTAACCCTAAGCTCAATGGGGAACTAAATAGCTTTTTTGGTGGTGAAGGGAAGATGACGATGAAGGAGTGGCTTGTCACTTTAAAGAACTGGGGCCACAACCACCAGACTGCCCTCCAGAAAACCTCTCAACCCGAAGGGAAAGGAAATCCGGAGGGGGTGACCATGTCGCATGTGGGGTTCGAACCCTCGACCTTCCGATTAAGATAAAAGACACTTAACCAGTCAGCCACACGTGCTCTTGAAATTTGAAAGAAGATTTTTGAAAATGATTGTGAGTTGAAATTGAGTTGAGTTGATAGTGAGTTGAGTTGAAATTGAGTTGAGTTGAAATTGAGTTGAGTTGAAATTGAGTTGAGTTGAAATTGAGTTGAGTTGAAATTGAGTTGAGTTGAAATTGAGTTGAGTTGAAATTGAGTTGAGTTGAAATTGAGTTGAGTTGAAGTTGAGTTGAGTTGAAATTGAGTTGAGTTGAAATTGAGTTGAGTTGAAATTGAGTTGAGTTGAAATTGAGTTGAGTTGAAGTTGAGTTGAGTTGAAAACTCTGACTTTGAGTTGAAACCAGGCGAGTCGCAATCAACATTAAATGTTTAGATTCAAAGAAAAATAACCCACAAATTGAAACTTGATTTTTTTTTCAACAAACCATCCACAAACCTTAGGTCCAACTTGTTGCACGCATCGCATTTGCATCAATGTCCATCTCGAGATCGTCTCGGACAACCACGGGAACTCGATTCGCATTCGAGAAAGCTAAAAAAATAAATTAAGAATACAATTTGTTTAAGTTGTTTAAAATTTAGCCATTAAACTTTAAGCATTAAGCTTTGGAAGCTAATTAGCTAATTAGGCAAGGTTATAAGCCAACTTAAACGGGTTGGAGTTTGAGAAATGGTCTATAATTCTATAATTCTATAATTCTATAGCTCTATAATTCTATAATTCAATAATTCTATATTCCTATAATTCTTCTCTTTGTTTCTCTCAGATTCTTTCAAGCATTCAGTTCAGTTTTTTTTATTCTTTAATGACTTGTTAAAACAAACCATTTGAAAGACATTTGTTTCGTGACTCGTTCGCAGAATCAGCTTCGACACAGCGACATCGGGTGAACGAGTTGTGACGACACAGTGGAGAATCGAGGGGACAGCTGTGTGCAGATACGGGATCAGACGGGATGAGTTAAGGCTAAATAAGGATATTGAAAGTTGTTAGTTTAAAAATTTGAAACATTTATTCACAAATTGGAACTCATTGAAAGACTGATAAAGCTTAATTGCAGGCAAAGCAAGACAAGGGAAGGGAAGGCAAGGCAAGGGAAGGCAAGGCAAGACAAGACAAGGCAAAGCAAGGCAAGACAAGGCAAGGCAAGGCAAGGCAAGGCAGCAAACCAAGCCTTACCTGGCTTTGGCAATTCTCACAAGACAAGATAGGCCAATACTCAACTAATCTCAATAACTAATCACTGATTGGACAAAGCACAACTAATTCTCTTTCTAATTTAAGCCAAAGTGAAAAATGGCTTAACTTTGACTTAGCTCAGCCTCGATTTGAGCTTTTAGCCTAACAATAGAAACAACTCTAAGCTAATCTGTACTCATCTACTTGCTGACTACAAAAGAAAACAGTAATTTCACTCACCGGCATTTATAAACGATCGTTTGATCGTTTTTCTGATGATGAAGCGAGAAACGGAGAGAGGTCAACGCGAGTCGCTTCACGATTTCCACTGAGAGTTTCTCGGAGAGAAGCGACAATGAGGTGATCACTGGAGGCTCTCCGTAAACGCATAGGTTTCTGAAATAGACAAAGAATATAGTTTAAACTAATACCCAAGTTATATTCAGATCTAACCATCAGAAATTCTCTCGTAAAAAATTGTTACTTTATGAACAAAACCGTTCTTTAAAACACCAGCCTGTAAAGTGAAAATTAAAATTTCTAATCGTTCTAATCGTTCTAATGGTTTTTCCTAAACCGTGTCTTCTTTCTCTTTCTATCTTGGAAAGAGTATTACTCCAAGATTACTTTCCAAGTAATCTTGGAAAGCGAAAGAGGAGAGGTTTTAGACGCACTGATATGTTGGATCACAGGCTTGAAGCATTCTTGCCACCACTGTTCCACCACTGCACGGCGTGGAATGAATGAAGACAACTCGACTCGCAAATGGTGGCAAACGGCCGGATCGCTCGATGAATGTCTGGAAAATATTCCAATATCCGAATATTTGGGTTTCAAATATTCGGCTACAAATTGTGAGAAATATATCCAATTAGTGCAATGCAATCTAATGGAAAAAGCAAGTACAGATTAGGCCAAGACAAGGCCAAGTTTGGGACCAAAGTTCCCAGGCCAAGCCAAGGCCGAGCCAAAGCCGAGCCAAGGCCGAGCCAAGGCCGAGCCAAAGCCGAGCCAAGGCCGAGCCAAAGCCGAGCCAAGGCCGAGCCAAGGCCGAGCCAAAGCCGAGCCAAGGCCGGGCCAAGGCCGAGCCAAGGCCGAGCCAAAGCCGAGCCAAGGCAAGTCAATTTTTCAGTTTTGACTGGATACAATAGATAATATATCTAATCTTGATTCAGCTTCCTTCTCTCTAAGACTATTAGCAAGTGGTTCACTTAATCATTGTAGATGATCTATTTCCCTTGTAAAATTGGTTTCAAAGTTCAAAACGGTTACAGAACTGGAGATAGGAGACTGGACGCTACCCTTACAGTACCCTTATACTTACAGTACCCTTACACTTAAAGTATCCTTACAGTATCCTAGAACTGCGCTAAAAATCTCCAATCTTTCAAAAAACTCACATCAATTCGAACCCTGGCCGCTTTCTCTGCGCATCCCAACAGGAAATCACCCATTTTTGTGTATCGATCGATGGTGCATCTATTCGCAAAAATTGTTATTGATTTCTTTCTTTTCTTTCTTTCTTTCTTTCTTTCTTTCTTTCTTTCTGTCTTTCTTTCTTTCTCTCTTTATCTTTGTTATCTGTTTTCTTTATCAACTCACTCAGTGTCGGGAACTTTCACCAAATAGACATGACTATCATCAATATCATAAATAATCCATTCGGGAAGCAGAATCGATGAAAATGTGGTGAATGTGTCGTGAAAAACGATGAAATCACAGGCACGCGCACAATCGTTGATATCGAAGCGAAATCTGGAATGTTTGAGTCTCAAATTGAACAAGAGCTTGGCTAAATCTAGCACTTTAATCCTGGGATAATCCATCTTTTTATGTAAAACATAAATTAAGTTTTCATTCTGGATTTCGTTGTCGTTGGTATAACGAAATCTGAAATGCTAGTTTCAAACTATATCAAGTGAAGAAAAAGTTTCTAGGATAATGAATCGTATTGTTCACTAGCATGGCTAGATAAAAGTATCGAGTCTCATTGTTAGCTGATCTGTTAGCATGTAGTTCAAGGTACCGTATTTTCTCTAATAGCAGTGCACCCAGCCGAGTTGATGACTATTTTACGGTTTCCAAGCTTTTGCAGAGGCTCAACACTCAAATCCCCCACAAGATCTCATCGTCAGCTACATTTTCCGACCTCACATCGATAGCTTCTGATAAGCGGTTCTCGAGATTTCGAGGAATTTAGGCGAAGCTTAGGGTACTATTAGAGAGAATATTGTTAAAAATGGGCTCATTCCGCGTCTTTTTTAGTCAGTCTTTTCTTCCCCATGGTTACTGTATCCTCTCTAATAGTAGTGCACCCCGGTGAGCCGAGTTGATGACTATTTTACGGTTTCCAAGCTTTTACAGAAGCTCAACACTCAAATCCCCCACTAGATCTCATCGTCAGCTACATTTTCCGACCCCACATCGATAGGCTCTGATAAGCGGTTCTCGAGATTTCGAGGAATTTAGGCAACGCTCACGGTGCACTACTATTAGAGAGAATACGGTATATCAGATTACGAAAAAGTATTCTAGGATAATGAATCGTAACTGTTCACTAGCATGACTAGATAAAAGTATTGGATCTCATTGTTAGCTCTGCTTAGATCATTGTTAGCTTAGATCTGATCAAAAGCATATAGTTCAAGATAATAAATTTCGTGTTTTTTTTTGTATAAATTACAATGATTAGAATGAAATTAAATATTAAATAAATGAAAGCTGAGTTTAAACCTAAATCAGAGCAATGAAACTCGATTTGTTGCTCTGGTTTAACTGGTTTAACTGGTGTTAACTCTTGAATCTTGAATAAAAAATAGAGTTTGAACATTGAAAATGAAGCTCGGCGCCAGCATCAATTACAATGATTAGAATGAAAGCATCAACTTTACCCGATGCTTTGCGGTTTAAAAGAAAAGTCGACCGACAGATTTTTTTCTTTTTAATATTATTCCAATAGATTAAGGGATGAATAAATTTATACTATAAAACTATGAAGAAAATTATAGGGTTAAGTAGGCTGGTTACAACAAAGTTACAAAGTTACAAAGTTACAACAAAGAACTCTTGTTGTAATTTGCTCAATCCTGTATTTTTCAACCCAAACAGCATCAAAGGCAAGCAATGGCCGTCGAGTTTGACTCAATTTCTTCAAATCTTTATGTATTGGGTTGTCCAGTTGAATGTCCAGCGTTCCAGAATGCGCGTTTTTACTATTTTATAAATTTCTCAAGATATCGAACAGATTTAAATGAGTGTTATATATCATTCAAAAGCTGAACATCTCCTCTACATTTTGATATAAAAAGCTTTGGGATTTGTTTCAGCTTTTGGGCAAATTGACTGCACAAAGGGAGAGGTCGTTTTCTAAAAATTCCTCAAGTTAGCTTAGCTCTTCCAGCTTAGCTCTTCCAGCTTAGCTCTTCCAGCTTAGCTCTTCCAGCTTAGCTCTTCCAGCTTAGCTCTTCCAGCTTAGCTCTTCCAGCTTAGCTCTTCCAGCTTAGCTCTTCCAGCTTAGCTCTTCCAGCTTAGCTCTTCCAGCTTAGCTCTTCCAGCTTAGCTCTTCCAGCTTAGCTCTTCCAGCTTAGCTCTTCCAGCTTAGCTCTTCCAGCTTAGCTCTTCCAGCTTAGCTCTTCCAGCTTAGCTCTTCCAGCTTAGCTCTTCCAGCTTAGCTCTTCCAGCTTAGCTCTTCCTCAAGTTTTATGGTGGAAAATAACCGCCCAAAAAAGAAAAGAAAAGTAAAGATGCTCTGAAATTGTTATATTAAAAAAAAAGTTGTATTGATATATCTATTGGCCAAACACCAAACGGTTAACTCAATTTGAGCGGAGCCAAAACTTGATCCAAAGGCACCCTTCCATTTTTTGGCCACCTCTTCTTCTGTGCAGTCAATTTGCCCAAAAGCTGAACAAATTCAAAAACGTTTTTATATCAAAATGTAGAGGAGATCTTCAGCTTTCAAATAATACTCATATATATCTTTTTCTTCATTTTGGTATCTTGTGAAATTTACAGAATAGTAAAAAACGCGCAAATTTCGCTTTTGATTTTGATTTTGATATGAATCTTGACTTAAAACTTGGGAAATTAGGATTATTTTATTATTGATAGTCGATCTAGAGTAGTTTATCATTGAAATGTTGACCAAATTCAAAACTAACATAAATTCACCTTGTCAAAATGTGCAAACTCTCGACATCACATGGCTCACAAGTGCACAAGCGTTTGACGGACGCCAAGAAATCCGATTCTAACTGAATTTCGAAAAAAATCATCAAGATTCAGGTTTTAATTTCAATTCTCAAGCAATTACTGCATCAACCTGAGCCAGCTTCACTAAAAAGAAACTAGGATTTTCTGAAACTAGGAAATTCCGATTTTTTTTGTAGGTGATACGGCCCTCCAACCAGTTTACACACTTTCTAGAGGACAGAAATCTCCTCTAGCTTTCGCCAACATTGCTATGGCCAAGTAAAAGTTTGTTGTTTTGTTGTTACTAAAATTTCCATTCTTCAGACTCAACTATTTGTTTATGGACGAGCCCATTAACCATCTTGACGTCGAAACTGTGGAAGAGCTTGGAAGAGCTTGGAAGAGCTTGGAAGAGCTGTGGAAGAGCTGTGGAAGAGCTGTGGAAGAGCTTGGAAGAGCTGTGGAAGAGCTTGGAAGAGCTTAGAAGAGCTTGGAAGAGCTGTGGAAGAGCTGTGGAAGAGCTGTGGAAGAGCTTGGAAGAGCTGTGGAAGAGCTTGGAAGAGCTTAGAAGAGCTTGGAAGAGCTGTGGAAGAGCTGTGGAAGAGCTTGGAAGAGCTTGGAAGAGCTGTGGAAGAGCTTGGAAAAGCTCTCAACAAGTTCAATGTAGGTTCTTTTTCAGTGACCGTTAAAGCATAGCGAATTTTTAGGGAGAAGTGGTTCTCGTTTCCCAAAAAACATCAAGATTCAGGTTTTAATTTGAATTTTCAAGGAATTACTGCGTCAACCTAAAGAGCCAGCTTCACTAAATTGAAACTAGGATTTTTTCAAATCCAAATTTTTTCCTTTTACTATTACTATTACTAAATTTCTTTTTAGGCTTAAAATTTACAGTTTGAATGCTCTTTTTTAGCGTTTACTTACCAAAACAATTGCTCGTACAAGTCGATAAAGGAGATAAAGAAGAAATTTGAGCGGAAAAATCATCGTCCCCAATCGAGATTTTTCCTCTGCAGCTTCTCCGATCTCTGACAAGTCTTCGGTCATTCTTTTTTCTCAGATCTTCTTCGAATTTTCGATTACATGAACTAAATTTTGACTTTTAAGGCTAAGAAATCAAATGTGAACGACTTTTCGAAGAGTTTAACCTTTAATTGATGAAAAAGTGACAGTTTTAAAGAGAGCAAAGTGAAGGAAATTGGTTTAACGTTGATAAGAGTTTGACGATGACGATGACGATAATAAATGTCGATAATAAGACATTCATAATCTTAATACTATTGAAATATGTTTAAAAAAAGAGATTTCAAAGCTAATTTGAATATTTTAGAACAATTGGCGAGCCTTTCTGAAAGCTAAATGATGAGCTATTGGGTTGGTGAATTGAAAACTGCGGGACTTTGAAGTAAAATTTATTCAACATAAAACCATGAATTCATTCCAAATAATTTCCATTATTATTCACGACTTCTGCTCATTTTACAGGCAATTTGCGGATTCCTCTTTCGTGGTAGGATTTTGGTTTGTGTGTGGTTTGTGTGTGAGACAAGTGTGAGACTCAAAAATGGAGATGTCCCAGTTTGAGCATTTGAGCACTTTCTTCAAAAGAAACCCATTTTGGTATCAATGGAAAAGTTGTAGAGAATCAAAAAGCAAGCTTATATCCAAATTTCCAAAAAGATACGCTTAGTGGTTCCGCTTAAAATTTGTGTGTTCTGTGTGTTCTTTGGGCGGCCACGTAATCGCTCGTCGTCTGGCGCAGAGCTTTTACATAACCCCCTTCCCTCTCGCCATGTGAAACTAATCTGACAGGCTCCGAATCATCGAATTGGACATTGACTTCTCCACAAATCAAGGCTAATCTCAATCTATTGGGCTGGTGAATTGAAAACTGCGGGCTATTGTCATATGTGACAGTTTGAGCACTTTCTTGAAAAGAAACCCATTTTGGTGTCAATGGAAAAGTTGTAGAGAATCAAAAATCAAGCTTATATCCAAATTTTCAGAACGATTCAAAAACTGGTTTTCAAGAAATGCCCAAATTTACGAATTTTCACAAAACTTGCATTTTAAGCGAAACTACTACTAGGTTGGTGCAAATGAAATTTCGTTTTTTTACAAACATTAAAGTCATCCAAAATTTTTTTTGATAACAATTTATTTAAAACAATAAGCACCATTATTATCTATGACATCCCTCCAACGTTGCTACAGATTGCGGATCCCCTTCTCAAAGAACGCTTGATTCTGTGATGCAAAGTAGTTGGTCACCCAATTTTCGACTTCTTTTGCATTCTTAAACTGGCAATTCTCAAGGGAATGTTGCATCGATCTGAAAAGGTGAAAATCGGAGGGTGCTAAGTCTGGACTATACGGCGCCTGTGGTAAGACCTTCCATCCTAGCTTCTCTAGTTCCTTACAAGAGGTTTTTGCCGTGTGAGCTGGAGCATTATCACGGAGAAAGTTGATAGTTGAGGGATTTAGGCCTTTTTCACGCAAAATTTCGTCAACCTTCTTGAGTTGTTGAATAAAATAAGATGAATCGACTGTTTTTCCGGGCTCTAATAATTCAAAATGAACAAGTCCATTGACATTCCACCAGCAAGACAACATCACTTTGCGCCCATGATAATCCGGCTTTGGAGTTGGAATTGGCGCTTGACCTTTGCTCAGCCATTGTCTTTTTCGAGAAGTATTATCAAAGTGAATCCACTTCTCATCCATCGTCAAGATATTCTCAAAAAAAATGGCTTCTTTTCGACTTCTGGAGCAAGATATGGCTGATCGGAACGCGTGCTCCCAGATTCTCAACACTCAATTGATGTGGAACCCATTGTCCATTACGATTTGTCTTTCCAATTATTTCCAAATGGCGTACAATTGTTGAATTGGAGATGTTTGGCAAGTTCTCGTGTTGTTTGCATTGGATCAGCTTCAATTCATTGTTGTCGATGGCTGCGGCACGATGTCCATGCGATTCGTCTTCAAGGGATTCATTACCATCTCGGAATTGGGCAAACCAGAGCTGGCATGATCTTTCGGTGATAACCTGTTCTCCAAAGGCGGAACAGAGATCACGATGTGAATCAGCAGCGTTTTTGCCCATTTTGAAGTCATAGAGAAGACACGTGCGCAGAACATACTTTTGATCCACCATGATCTAAAGCAAAAATCAATTAAAAAGTGAAAGCTCTGACTTTGAAAAAATGCGAAAATAAAGTAAATATCCAATAGTACAAATGCACAAAAGAACATCAAATAAGCTCTTCAGATTAAAAAAATAAGAACATTTTATATCGACCGAAATTTCTTTTACACCAACCTAATAAGTGTATCTTTTTGGAAATTTGGCTATAAGCCTAATTTTTGATTCTCTACAACTTTTCTATTGACACCAAAATGGGTTTCTTTTGAAGAAAGTTCTCAAACTGGGACCGTGTCCTCCATTTTTGTCCTCCTCCATTCACCAAACATCAAACTTTCACATATAACAATAGCCCGCAGTTTTCAATTCACCAATCCAATATTTCAAGCTTTCAAATTTAAGTTGAAGCGAGCATTAGAGTGAAGAATGGAATTTTAAAAAAGTGTGTGTTTCAAATAAATTTCTAGATTGAAATTGGAATAAGATGCAAACGATTAAAAAAAAAACTTTCCCAGCTAGAAAATATTCAAAGAAACCAAAGAAAAAAGAATTCAAAGAAGATGGAAAATAAGAATATACATATCCAATAAAAGACCTATTGAAGAAAAAATAGTTTAGAGTGATTATTTCGAAAAATCTTAGCAAGAGCAAGCAAGCAAGTGAAAATTAAGTCATTTACGCCTTTTTTAAAGTCATTCAATTTCAAAAATCTATACCAGATCAAGCAGAAAAACAAAGAGCACAAAATTTTTTCGCAAAAATTCTTTTAGAATTCTCGAGGATTTGGATGAGAATCGAGAAAAAGAGAAAAGACGATGCGACCGTGGGAATTTGTGGGGAAAGGAATGGGGAAAGGGATAAAATGAAGAGATGAAAAGGGGATCTGGTAGAGGGGAAACCACTCCATTGGAAAGCACTCTCGAAACACGAGAGTCTTTCTCTTGCACTTCTTTGGCTCTTCTATTCTTTCTTTTTCTCTTCTTGTTTCCCAGTTGCTTGATGAAGCACTTAGAAGAAACCATATTCAAGTGAAAGACAAAAGATCGGTGCAGATAACTTTAAACTACCGTATTCTCTCTAATAGTAGTGCACCGTGAGCGTCGCTTAAATTCCTCGAAATCTCGAGAACCGCTTATCAGAAGCTATCGATGTGGGGCTGGAAAATATAGCTGACGATGAGATCTTGACGATGATTAGAGTGTTGAGCCTCTGCAAAAGCTTGGAAACTGTAAAATAGGCATCAACTCGGCCACTAACTCGGCGCACTACTATTAGAGAGAATACGGTACCCATGGGGAAGAAAAGATTGACTAAAAAAGACGCGGAATGAGCCCATTTTTAACAATATTCTCTCTAATAGTAGTGCACAATGAGCGTCGCCGAAATTCCTCGAAATCTCCGGAACCGCTTATCCAAACCTATCGATGTGGGGTCGAAAAATGTCGCTAACGATGAGATCTAGTGGGGGATTTGAGTGTTGAGCTTCTGCAAAAGCTTGGAAACCGTAAAATAGTCATCAACTCGGCTCGGTGGGGTGTACTACTATTAGAGAGAATACGGTAGTTTGTAAAAACCTGAAACGATTTCTTCTGATTGATATTGATTGAGTTTTTTAGTAGTTTTTTCGTTTTCATTTTCAAAGCGCCCGTACTTTCAAAAAATGCGTCTTTGGTATCAAAAAATAGCTGAAATTCAGGGCTATTTTTTGATACCTAAGCGCACATTTTAGCAAAAACCAGTGTCGAGAAAAACTAGTTCAAAGCTAGACAACACTCCGCACCGTCATTAGGGGCTTGGGGTACTATTACAGTGTTTACGGTAGGTATTTGAATGTAATTTAAATGTAAAAATGTAAAAAAATCATGATAAGAAGCTCTGTTCGTTATTGAATGAATAAAAAATATTACAAATTGATTAATAAAATTTAAATAAACGATTTTAAACAAAGCCAAAAGCCTTGTCTAGACAAATTCTTGTTTGTTAACCCTGAAATGTTAACCCTGATTCATTTATAAGTTGAATCAATTCATTTATCAAGTCAAAGTCAAAGTTGTCTTAGTACTGTCTTAGTCAGTACTAAGAAAACTTTGAAAGTGAAGCTCTGGATTTAACTGTACAGCAAAGACAGCAAAGACAGCAAAGACAGCAAAGACAGAAGTAAGAAAAGGAACAAAAAGACTTATTCACCAACATGCATCAATCATCCATCAATCAATCTCCAATAAACATTAGAGCTTATGACAATAAAGTCGACAATAAAACCGAAGCGCTAAAAATGAAGTGCCTAACTTGACACTAAATAAAGCTCAGCTCTATGTTTTCTTTCTTTAGTTTTTCTGATTCCTAGCTTGTGCATAGCAGAAAAGTTCCTTTTCCCCTCTTTCTTTTCTTTTCTTTTCTTTATAATTCGATGTCAACCACGCATGCATTCGTCTATGTATGCACCGAGTAGAATAGAGAAAAAGAGAGTTTAGACACTGCTTGCTTCAGAGTTTGGAACGAATACATAATGGAGAAGTGAATGGGCAAAGGATAAGCTGAAAGAAGCACGAGTTGTCTATTGAACAGCTTCACTTGATCAGCTTCACTTGATCAGCTTCACTTGAGCAACTTCACTTGATCAGCTTCCGTTAATCACTTGTCTATCTTTGGCCAAGAGCTATTAATGTCATAAAATCGAGTTGTTCAAGTGAAGCTAATCAAGTGAAGCTGATCAAGTGAAGCTGTTTAGGTGAAGCTGATCAAGTGAAGCTGTTTAGGTGAAGCTGATCGAGTGAAGCTGTTCAGGTGAAGCTTTACTGTCATAAGCTCTAATGTTTATTGGATATTACCTTCGCATAAT